GGGGGGGGAATCGGGGGAGGAGGACTCGTCTACCTTTAGACCAGCTCGTCTCCTCTAGGAGCCCAATGGGTGCTGAGAACCTTGAGCCCGGAGGCGGGGAAGCCGCCATCTTAGACGAGGCGGTTGCTTGGCTCCATTTTGAGTGGGGCCAGAACCTTCTCAGGCTTCATTCCCTTCTAGGCAAGCAGGGAGTTAAGCATCAACCACCACCAATAAGCACACTCCTCCCAGCCGCTCCTCCTATGAGAGGAGGTGTACTCTGACTGCAAACTACAAAATGAAGAAGAGGCGGGGTATTCGCCGCGGCTACCGTTCAGTGAGCTTCTTTGCGGTCTAAGCTCTTTTCACACGATCTCCGAGTCGTGTATTCTTCACCCTGTGAGGGAAGCTCTGTTATTATCCCCAAAACAGCACACGGGCTTAGAAACGACTGCCGTTTCAGAGCCGGGAAGTTGAACCTTTGCACCCTCTACTACCCCCCGGCATTCTGTGCAACATCCTTCGTTCCTTCTTAAAGCTTCTGTCAACTTCCTAGCTCGAAACTCTCCTTTCTGACCCGACTGCTTCGCTTCAGTTCAGTTCAGATACAGTTCAACGATTTCCCTGCATATGTCCCACGATTTTCCGACTCCAGCCTGGGGGTGGGGTGGGAGAAGAGGTTGAGTGAATGGAACGCCACACACCTGCTTCAAGATGGCGCTGGCTTTCTCAGGCGTTATAGAATGTTCTCTAGGACTCTTCTATTTTCTTAAAGGGTCCCACCGCTTTAAAAAAGAAAATGGTTGTGTACCTGTTTCCTAAGTAATGGTGCGTTCGGCCCTGAGGGTACAATGATGGAAAAAGGGACTCTGCCCTGGGAAATTGCAAGCCAGTGCAGGACACAGGCTTGCAAGTCAACAATTGGAATACAACGTCCAGTAAGCACACGGATACCTCTTGTAGAGTGCAAAATAAAGCTAAACAAGTGTCTCAGCAGCTCCTTGCTGCTGTCAAAGAAGATTTCTAGGCGATTTGGAGGATTCTAAAAGTTCACTAAATTAACAGTGTAGATAAAAGGATCAACATGTACAAATGCATGGAGGCATATGCGGAAACATTTGAAAAAAGAATTTGAATATTAGATTTTATCTTTTAAGCAGTAACAAGAGCAAGAGCAGCTGTCACATTTGTGTTTTAGGCAGAGGAAAATCCAGTTTTAGTGAGACCTGAAGCTTATATGTTTGTGAGGTGGGACTTCTTTAAGAATATAGACTTGTAGTTACAAAATTAGATTCAGAGGTAGACAGAGTGTTTCTAGAAGCCATTCCTATACCTGGGTAATAACTATAAATAGAAGTGATATAGACCACATGTAAATGTATCAAACCCAAATTAAATGTATCCCCCAAATCAACTTCCACTTAACTAGATCTCAAAAATGTCTGAGGCAGCTTCAGCACCACCTAATACAAGGGAATATGTGACCAGGGAAACTGTCAGAGGAAAGGGACAGCAGTTTTAACCAACTATGGTTTAAATACATTTTACAAACTTTACAAAACATATGACCATGTGACCATATGGCAAGCGACAGGCCCTGTAACTTAAGCTTTCGTAGTTTCAAAAGGAGACAGGAGAGTGTTCACTTTGGCAGAATATATATTAAAATTGGAAAGACAAAAAATTACCATGTCCCCTACACATGGATGACATGCAAATTCATGAAGTTAATAAAAAAGGCATGAGGGAAGAGGCTGTTTGTTGCATTAGTCATGAAAAAAAAAAAAGATGAGGCTTGAGTCAGGATAGTTGCAGCTGGGGTAGAAAAGGATCAGATAAGTAGGATATTTTGGAGGTAAACAGGGCTTGGGGATTAATTGAAAATAGTAGGCGAATGAAAGGACTGAGTTCATTTCTGGGTGTCAGACTGAATGGTAGTGCCATTGAGCTGGGGTACACAGAGGAAAAGCAGATTTGGTAGGAAAGAGACTAAGTTCATTTTGAAGTATGTTGAGTTAAGGTGTGTGTGAAACATTAACTCACCCAACAATTCTTTGTTGGGCATCTACTATGCATCAGGCATTGTGCTAGGTGCTAAGGATGTAGCAGTAACACAGATAAGGTCCTGGCCTTCATGGAGCTGACATTCTACTGGGGGAACAGTCAAAAAAATAGTTTCATTCATATGTTTATTGAGCATCTACTATATACCAGGCACTTTTCTAGGCACTGGGGATTCAAGGGTAAACAAAACAGAAAAGGTCCCTGCCCTCCTGTGATTCACATTCCAACGAGGGAGATGGATGATAAAATAAGCCGAAAAAGATAATTTCAAATTGCAGTGAGTGCTATGAGGAAAATTAAAAAAAAATATGAGATAAAGATTTGGATGAAAGATAGTCTATTTTAGATAGGGTAGTTAAGGAAAGCCTTTTTGAGAAGGTGACGTGTGAGCTGAGACCTGAAAAACAAGAGCTGGCCAGGGACAGGGCAGAAGGAATAAAAAGTGCAAAAAGTCGATTGTGGTGGTAGGGCCAGTTCAGGGCACCCTCTCAGTAACACCTCCTGAGCATTTAACTGGTCAGAATACTGGTAGGGGTTGGAGTGGGTTTTTCCAGACATGAAAAAGAGACCACGTGTGTATCCTTAAGGAGTATATGTATAATCTAGTAAGGGAGGCAAGGTTCAATGAACAATAACAAGGCTGAGAAAGGTCAAACTCTAGTGCTACCTAGAGGTCTGAGCAACATGTGTGGGAACAAAAGGAGCCATAGTTAATTCAAACTTGTTTTCAGTGGGTGTGTCAGGAAAGACTTCACAGGAGGTGGCATTTGACCCAGGTAGACTTATACCCACCCATGGAAGTTCCTCCCCACTGTTCTTGGGAGGTGGGGTGGGAGTGCTAAAGGATAATGGGAAAGGCAAAGCTGTCAGGAGGCTGAATCTGAGGCAGTTAAATTTGCTGACAGAGGAACTCTTGGCACTGCCATGGATCAGAGGCAGCTGGCTGCTACCCTGGAAATGTGTTCTCCAGTTGCATCTCACAACATCAGTGCATGATCTGAACTGGCTGCCATAGTTAAGAGGCTGCCCTGGAAATCTTCCCCTATGCCACTTCCCCTTAACCGTTGTAAATATTTATTTTTAATTACACAGGCGATAAATAGTAAATGCATTCCCATTGTAAATGTACAAACAGGCTGAAGATCCCCACTGACCACCATTCAATTCCTGCTTACCTCCCTAGAGAGAACCTCAGTGGGCTCTTCCAATTCATCTCTTTGCATACATGTACATATAACTGTTGAGATGAAAAAAGGATGAGAACTAAGGTGGACTACAAAATATATGAGGAAAAAGGGTGGGGGGAAAGGGGGCATATTACATGAGGAAGAACAGGCTTGCTCCAAAACAGACTTGGAAATACAAGAACAGGAAAAACAAGACAAAATAATGACAAATAACATTATCTGATAATTTACTGTGATAAGCACTGTTCTAAGCTCTCTACATGCATTAACTTGCTCAACCCTGACAGCAACCTTATGAGGTAAGTACTAGTATTATCCCCATTTCATGGAAAGGGAAGCTGAATATACTTTAAATCACTTGCTCCAGGTCACAAAGGAAGTATGTAACCAAGCTGGAGTTCCTGGCGTACAAGTCACCACTCCACTATACCACTGGTGTGGCTCTAACAGCAACTGGTGTCTCTCATGTTATGGGGGGAGGTAATCAATGGTTATTTGCATAATTTGAATCACAGAAGCAAAATAGGATTTACAATCGCATAGAATAAAAACTAGCAGGATGATCCCCCAGGTGCCAAACTAGGTAGCTGAGAACACCAACCCACTCCTCTATGGCCATCTTTAGGGGTGTGTCACCTGTGCAGAGCTCTGCTCCCAGGAGGGGCTTCAAGCTTGATTTAATGCTCTGCTGTCGCTGTCTTGACATCACTAATAATAACTTTATTTTTTAATTTATGTCTTTTAAGTGTAGTCCCATGTGACAATGGAGCGTACACATGAGCAGAAGAGATACACTGGGTGGCAGTGTGCACCCATGCATGCCTAGCAGTTGGTCAGGCCTCCTGGCATGCACAAGCAACACCTTTGGGGCGTTCTGGGGCACCATGGGGCCCAGAGGGGGGATTCTGGTCCAGTGACAATGGTGGAAGCAGAAGCAGCAGTGGTAGTGGCAGTGACAGGACCCATGGTGTGAGGCAATCTTGCCCTTCTGCTATCAGAGCCTGTCCCTTCAGTATCTACACAAATAGTAACTCTGGCTTGAGCACTGGGACAGGGACTGCTTGGCACTCAGGCAGCAAGCTTTGCCAGTAAATTACTACAGACTAAAAGCATACCCATGGAAAGTTTAGAATCTCTGGTTTAGAAAACATGCAATATTGCAAAGCAAATATCCAGAAGCTTAGAAATGGAAATTAAATTTAAAGACCATTACATTAGACACATTTAATGAAAGTTTTGGATAAACCAATTATTAATGGTGAAGACAATTTAAAAGTGTTTTCCTTGTAGTTAAAGATATGGTGGAAGAATGCATAAACAGGCATTTTGAATTATGAATAAATCATGATGATATTTTTTATTTCTTTTATGACCTTGTTTTAGTTTGTTCAGGCTGCTATAACAAAAACATAGACTGGGTGGCTAATACACAAAAATTTATTTTCCCAGTTCCAGAGGCTGGAAAGTCTAAGATCAAGGTGCTGGCCGATTCAGTGTCTAGTGAGAGCCCACTTTCTGGTTCATAGATGGCCATTTTCTTGCTGTGTGGTGGAAGGAGTGAAGGAGCTCTTCAGGATCTCTTTCATAAGGGCACTAATCTCATTCATGAAGCCTCCATCCTCAAGACCCAATCACCTCCCAAAGACCGCACCTCCTAACACCACCACTTTGGGGATTAGGATTTCAACCTATGAATTGCGGGGTGGGGACAGAAGCATTCAGTCTATAGCAGAACTCCACAAGTTACAGGAAATGTCAGAGGAAAAGAAACATTAAAGGCCATTGTATAAATTTCTATTTAAAATTAGATTCAGACTTACACAAAACTGATTTGTATGAAGAGTTAAATCTTTTTAGAAAAAACGTTCCACA